AAACCCCAAATAAGGTTGAGTCATGCTTGAGAGCAAAACAATTTGTACCTGTGAATGTATGTCAAAAGAAGAAACAAACTTTAAGCACTATTGTTGAAATCCAACATTCTAACCTCATCATGAAGTTCTTCATAATTACGAGGAAATGGCACATCAAACGGAATCGAAGAAGAAACCAACTTAACACCAAATTGAACATCTCTACGAAGTAGATGGAAGTAAGATACTATAAAAGGTCGAAAGTAAAAGTAGAATTCTACATATTTTTCGTAATTTTCCTTTTGTAATCATCTGAAAGTCGATAATGAGGGTAATTTGGTCATTTTAATGAAAAAGAAAGACTCAAATTGAGCCGAATTTCTTCCACCCACCCTAAGTATAATGAAATTTGTTAAATGAAGTGTACTTTTACACATAAACTCAATGTACTTACAATATAATGCCATAAAGATGACTTGAGTGATAAAGAAATTCATTTTCTATGAATATCTGCAAAAGCAATCTTGCCCTGCAACATAAATTTGTTAACACAGGAAAATAAAAATAATTGGAAGATATAAAATATAATTTTGTAGTTTATATCGATTTTGAATTATAATTGTAAGATTTTTTAGCATCAGGAATGAGAAATCATCTATTATTTTTCCATTTATCAACAACCATGACCACCATTCATCTTATTTCGTAACATGGGAGTTTAACCAAGCAAGGGCAATTTGGTAATTTGGATATTGATATAACCGGATAAAATTTTGTAACAGAGTTATTTAGTGGATTGAAACCAAGAGCAGCTGAAGAAGGCAATGCAGGTTGATAAAAAAAACAACCCCTGCAATTAGCAAAACAAAATTTAGATGATCAATTTGATCAAATACAAACATTTACATGATGTTTTTGTCAAATATAAACATTTACATGACGTTTTGGTTAAATATACATGACAATTTGATGAAACAGAAACATTTAAATGAAAAAAAGTATAAAGTAAAAACCAAGTGAAAGTTGCCTGATGCTTCTATCAATCAAATTAATATAGAAAATTAGATAAACCACCTCTTAACCATTTATCAATACGCAATATATATATATATATATATATATATATCATAAATGACAAAAAAAAAAAAAAAAACGGGATTCAACTGTAGCAAAGCACCACAAAGGAAAAGAATATTTATAAAAAAAATCGATTACATGAAGATATAGAGACCAAATTGTACATTTCAATTGTCAAGTTTAAAGTAACCTGGTTGTTTTTTTATGGAACGGTGAAATATTATTAAACCTAGCAAGACGCTAGAAAATTTTTACATCAAAATAGTATCTGATATAGGATTGTGAAGCCAAGAGCACCAACTAAACTTGGATTTTGTACACCTACTAGAAATCCAAATAAAAGATTTATGAACAACATCATAAAAAATCATAGATTTCTTAGGAGCAGCCACTCCAAATATCAAAGCATTCCTGAAATTCCAAATGCACCAGAAGGTAGTCAAGATCACTGCATAAAAGGCTTTATGCTGACCGATTCTCCAAGAGGTTGTGCCAGCCCAATTGATAAGAGAGTCCAAAGTCAATAGTGAAGGACAGTTAACGCCCCACCAGACTGCAATACGGGACCATAAAGCAATCAAATTAGAGCATTCTGTAAAAATATGATCAATCGTCTCCACCCTAGAAGAGCAACGGGACAAAGAATAGAATCCACCAAAATACCCCTATAAGGTAAACACTCTCTAGTAGGGATACTAGACAGTCTAATCCTCCAAATAAGAATATTAATCTTAATCGGAACCTAATTATTCCAACGCGTAGAAATGCCTCCATTACTAAGTGTAAAACCATCCTAAATTTTACAAGCCGAAGAAATAGAAATGGTATCTGACAGATCAATAACCCAACCCAGTCTATCTGGAACTGACCTGAGTTGGAAATTTTGCATAAGTAAAATAAAGTTATCCCATTGCTCCTGTCCCACTCCACCTTTACGAATACGTCTAAGGGTATTAACCCCCAATCCCATAGACAACCCATTAGTAATAGAAACATGTCTATGCAAATCCAGAACACAAACTCTAGGAAAAGAGGCAGACAGAGGCACATCATGCCAAAAATAAGTACGAGTACCATCTCCAACTCTAATGGGGTAAAGAGATTGAAGCTCAATATCTTTATGGTGTAACTGGGAGAACATACAAATAACCCCATTCCAAAGGCATTGACCAATAATAGGATAGCTCAAGCTCCTACAAGCACCATCCAATCCGTAAATAGATTTTATCACTCTAACCCACAAAAGGCAATGACAATGATAAAACCTTCACCACCACCGAAATATCATAGCCATATTAAAAGAGAACATACTACCAATCCTCAATCCTCCTTCGTCCCTGGAAGCTATAACTCTATCCCATCTAACCGAATGCATACGACGTTCATCCCCGTCTGCACCCAAAATAATCTTGCCCTCATTCCTTCTAAATCCTTCAAAATCGAGAGAGGAGCAAGAAAAATAGACATCAAGTAGCTCCCTATCGAGCCCAAGACACACTTCACCAGAGTAATATAACCTCCAAATGAAAAACACTTAGCCTTCCAATTTGAAAGCTTTGAATGAAATCTATCAATCACAGAAACCCAAGAAGAAGTTTGAGTCATAGCCTGACCCACCCGGATACCAAGATGGAAAAAAGGGAGAGTAGAAGCTGCACAACCAATCCTGTTAACCACAACAAGAACATGGGAAAAAGGAATTCCAACGCTAATAAATTTACTTTTAAATAAATTGATTTTAAGCCATGAAGCCAAGTAAAAACATCTGAGAATACGAATAAGACAATTCTCATTTTCAGGATCCCAAGAAGAGACCAACATAACATCGCCAGCATAAAGGAGATGAGAAATATATATTCCGGAAATAGAAATCCCTCTAAAAGCATTCCCCATTCATGCCCTTATCAAAGCAACATGAAGACCCTCCATAGCCAAAATAAAAAGAAAAGGGGACAACATATCACCATGTCTCAACCCACGATGAATTTGGCATTCATCAGTCAGGGAACCATTAACCAACACAGAAGCCCTAGCAGTGGATAATAGCTCCTTAATCTACCGGTACCACATAGACCTAAATCCTATAATCGACATAATTTCCAATAAGTAATCCCAAGATAACAAGTCATAAGCTTTCTCAAAATCCACCTTAAGAAACATCATAGGATTTTCGGAAGCCTTACTCCAAGCAACCTATTCATTCAAAAGAAAAGGACCATCCAAGATCTGTCTACCTTTGATAAAAGCAGATTGCTCAAGGCTAACAACACTATGGATAACCTCCATAAGACGGTTAGCTAGAAGTTTACCAATAATTTTGTATTGGTACCCAATAAGACTAATGAGTCTAAAATCTTTTGGAGTCTTTAGATCTCTGACTTTTGGGATAATAGTGAAAAATGAGGCATTGCATCCCTTTGGAATAACCGGGTGATGGAAAAATGATGAACAAACACCTCAATATGAGCCGAAACAAGATCCCAATATCTCTTCCAAAACCCAAAAGTAAAACCATCAGGTCCTGGGGCTTTAGTAGAGTCACAATCCCAAACTGCCCTTTTTATCTCCTCAAAAGAAAAAAGAGACTGCAAAAAATCAACTTGTAATGGGGTTAGAGTACTAAAAAAGCACCATTTGTTACAGGTCTCCACAAAGAACTCTCCTTAAATAAAGATTGAAAATAGTCATGAAACCCTTCTTTGACCTGGACCGAGTTATCCACCCACACACCATCAATCATGAGACCATGGATAACAATTTGTCTTGTTTTACGATTAAGAATTCCACAGAAAAATCTAGAGTTCTCATCCCCTTCAATGCCCCACTAAATTTTAGCCTTTTGAGCAAGATCAACTTGAATTAAATGATCAAGATCTGACATCTCCTTCAATAAGGAGACTCTTTGCTCTCTCAAATTAGCAGAACCTTCATCCTCCATGAGGCTAATATCAATTGACTCTAATAAATCTTGTAAATTCTTCCTTTTAATACCCACCATGTCCCGGTGATTAGAGTACCACACCTTGGGTTTACATTTAAGAAACTGAAGTTCTTTCTTAAAAATGACCCAAGGGACAGTCAACTCTGTCCCCACCAACGAATTAGACCAAGCGTCCCGAATGACATTATTAAACCCCTCCGTATCAAACCATGAATGAAATAAAAGAAAATGTGTGGGACCATAATCTACCCGATGCTCCAACAGAAGAATAGGACAGTGATCAAGAATATTCTTTTCCAAGACAATAGCTGAAAGATGAGGAAAAGAATCCAAAAAACCTTCCTTGACTAAAAATCTATCAATCTTGTTGAATTTGGAACCCCATTTATCACTCCATGTGAAACGGTGTCCACCCAAAGGAACATCCACAAGATCGAGAGAGTTAATAAAATCATTAAAAACTCTCACAGAAGACATATTGAAATTCGATCCCAATCTCTCAAACTCATCTTGAACTTCATTGGAATGACCTATAATAATAAATTCACCTGAAAAATTGGAAATAATATTATAAATTGCGTTCCAAAGAAGTCTTTTATTATTTAACCCTTGAGGTGCATACACAACAATAAAGATCACTTGAAGACCCGAACGAACCCACACCGCCTCAATAACAACAAATCCATCATGAACAACAACTAAATTTTGGGAATCAAATCTAAATCCCAAATAACCCCCAGAAGCTCCATTAGAAGGAGAAAATAAGCTCCATGAGAAGGAGAAAAATCATGCATACAAGAAGAATTACAATTACCCCAAAAAGATCTAGCCATAACTAAGTCAACGCACTCTAACTTAGTTTCTTGTATTGCTAAGAAATTAACTTTATGACGATTACAAATTTTTTTAATCCAAATCCTCTTATCTAAGGAGCCCGCCCCTTAAATATTTATTAAAAGACAATCCATTTTGGAAATTGCCTCTCAACGTGCCCTTTTAAAATTTATATAACACGATCCATGCAACCATCCATATTATACCCCAACGATTCTCCCACTGCAATAGTTTTTTTGTAATTCATTTAAAAATGAATTATTTTTATCAACACAATCTGATATACTTTGATTATTCCCCAAATAAGAAAAACACTTATTTGAGAAACCCGTGAGATGAGAGAGATCATCTTCAGAACAATTAATACCCGAAACTCGTCCAAAACCTCCAGAAAACCCCACTGGTTTACTATGAACCCGAACCTTAGAGGGAAAGTCTTCAATAAAAACATCATTATTACCCCCCTGAATTCTGATTAACTTCACAATTTTTTCCAAGAAGAGGAGACAAATTAGGAGGCAAGGCTGTCGAATAGCATCAGGAACAACAGCTGGAGCTGCTGGAGCAATCTTGATAGCATAGGATGTTGTCAGAACAGTGGCAACATGAGTTGCTGCCGTCGGAACTTCCAGCTGTGAAAGAGGATGTACTAGGTCATAATTATTAGGAACATGATGTTCGGAAGGAGTTGAAATAGAAACAACAACATGAGGTGGTGAATGTAAGTTTGGCTTCTCAATTTTCTGGAGCAGAATTCCGAGAATGCCCCTGAGATGAACACTTATGCAGCTTGATAGTTTTTTTTTTTTTTTTTTTTTTTATAAATAAGTTCTCTTCATTATCCATTTTTTTCCATTACATCATAAATACCAAAAGGATCTAGTGGGGCATCTTCCTTTTCAAGTAATTAATCATTACTACCATCTTGTTCTTATTCAATTCGGTAAGTTGCATCAACACTATCATTATCAATATTGTTAAACTCACACACGAATGAAGGATTTCAACTAGGAGCTTCTTTGATACAAATGGGGAATATTTCACCATCAATAATAACTTTGATCACTTCAGAAATTACACCAAGGAACGAGGTGAGAATACATACACGTGATTTATACATGTGTTCTCCTATGTTATCATCAAGATGAGCGATTGAACCCCATTTTGCCAAAATATGTCTAAAAGAATTTTTACTCCAAGCACGTAATGGAAGACCTTCGACAGCAACCCACACAATACGATCAGATGTCACAAAGTTTTTGTCCCATGTTCTTTTTTCAGAAATCCAATGGTTAACCGCATCACAGGTCAGAAAATTTTTACATGCTTCTTTGGACTTAAATTTAAACATCACCCATAGGCCACCCACATATCGAATAATAAAATTATCAAAACCTTCATCATGGCACAACATTCTCAAATTAGGAAGAGTACTAAAGTCACGAAACATAGCTAAATACACTAACTTTTTGTTGTCAATAACAAAATTCCCATAATCAAGAACAATGGTTGAATCTTCTTTTTCAGAAAAAGATTTCTCACTATGACCACCACTTACTACATTTGCATATGAAACAGAAAGATTCTCCCTTTTCTTCTCAACCTTTGGTGGTTCCCTATGGAAATTAAGATCTTTCTTAGGAGTACGAGGGACATAAGCAAACATCTTGTGATACCCGAACCACACGTCACAAAGATTCTTAATCATACGATCAACATTAACATTGGTTGGAAATCTAACAAAACCAAAACATTTCCACATATGTGACATCTTTTTGGAGATAAATACAAAACAAACTTTTCCAAACTGGGAACATGTACGCCATATATCAAAGTGAATAATATAATTTGGGAAATTCGTAATATAAAAGGAATGTGACTTAGAACTAGAAATTGCATGAAATCTTTCATTGGAAATCTTCCCTACGTGATTCTTGTTCTTCTTCCAACCCTCACCACACAAGGAATTTGAATGATTAGATAACCATTGGATCAATCAATCTTGATTAAAAATTCACCAAAGCACGCATATTTGTTTTGTGTTTTAAATAATCATATACTGATTCAGGTGAGAAAACATATTCATATGTGAATATAACGTGGTAATTTAGTTTATGCATTTCATCAAACAGTTGGAGTACATACAAGTTAACTATTTTAAAAATGTTAAAAACATCAAGTCATCAATTCCAAATCATCATATACTTCCGATTTCGATTTCAGATGCGACATCCTATGTCTGATCGATTTCTCATTTTGATATTGATTTCCGAAAATCCGATTGGGAACCTGTGAGTACCGATTATGAGTCCTTCAATGTCGACTGTAACTGTGAGTCCAGAAGTCCGATTCCAATTTCATGAACAGCGAAGAAATTCCGGTTTAGTTGAAGAAATCTGGATGATTATTGAAGGTTGGAGGGAAATTTTGATGATGAACGAACTGTTATCGATACATATTTGAGATTGAAGGTTATTAACATATTTACAAGTTTGCCACCGTGTCTTTTTATGATCAGATTAAATGAGTTGTCGGGAATGATTCCCATATTCTCAACCTTTTTTATTTTGTCAATTAAACTCACCTCTCTCTCTCTCTCTCTCTCTCTCTCTCTCTCTCTCTATATATATATATATAATATATTATATATATATATATATATATATATATATTCCAATTTTTTTTTTTTTACTTGGTGATTTAGTGGACTCATATGGAAAAGGGTCGTGACACATCATTGCCTCAAATGTTGAAATGTCAAAGTTTAGTGGTTGAGGGGTTGGTGTCAAACATACATCCATCAATCAATAAATGCATTTTCATATTAGATTGAATTTATAATATTGGGGCCTATTTTTATACATATTCTCGTTACCAACGTCTAATTCCATATTACATACTACATAGAGTAATTCATTTGATTATTAAATTTTATTATATTGCATATTTCGTTATTACCAAATATGAAATAACTATATTGTTTTCGTCTGTTTTTTAAATGAGATTTTATAATGCGTTTCAAAGATATATATATATATATTAAAAGTATTAAATATAAAAAAAATTATCAAAATTAAATACAAATACGTTTATTATGAAGATTATTAATATATTTAATTATGATAATATTTTTTATAACTAATATATTTTATATTTTAAATATGTTAATATTTACATGCGTCTTATATTATATGACCTGAAAATAAAAGCTGACATATGGACAAACTTGTAATCTAGTCTATTAAAAACTTCATGTTTAAATTTATAACCCAAATTTTTATCTATGAAGTTGTTTCTGTGTATAAGTTTTTGTAAAGGAAAAATGCAGAAAAACCCAATTAATTATACATGTATATGCAGAAAAACCCTTATATTATTTTTATATTCAAAAAAACCCTTATATTATTATTTATATTTCAAATAAAACCAAATTGTAGATTTTTAAGAGAAACGATCAGCTAAAAATATGATATGATATACATATCCCTTATACTTCTTTGATTATATGCAAAAACATGTCAAACCAAAATATATTTCGATTATTTTCATTCGATTGTATTCTCTATATGATTGATTTTTTCTTTCTTAACTAATTGTTTTTATCCCAATAAACACAAATGTAAGCGACATTAGATTTTTAGTTGTCAATTTCTCTTAAAACCTTGTATTTTGGGCTTTTTCGAATGGTAACTATTAATATAAGGGTTTTTCTGAATATAAAAATAATATAAGGGTTTTTCTGCATATACATATATAATTGGTTGGGTTTTTCTGCATTTTTCCCTTTTTGTAACTTTTTTTTACTTATTTTATTGACAAAATAGTTTTAGCTGTAAGTTAATTTCACAAATGAAAAATTTAACAGCATTACAAGTTAAATAACTTTTGTCGTTGTTATAACTGATGTTTGTGTAAGTAAAAAGCACAAACAATATGATAACACCTCCATTATTCTACTACACTTGCTTTTCCCCTCCAGCTACTTTTATGTTAATAATTAAAAAAAAATAGAAATAATTTAATTTTTTTTTAATATGAGTTCTCTTTACTCGTTATAAAATGTTAATTGGTATTAGCCTTGATATACAAGACATTAATAAATTCGTAAATCAGTTATTGATTCTTCTAAAAAAATCACTTGATAATTAATGAATATGCGAGTGAGTCTTCTTGACCCAACAAACCTAGAGATCATATTTGAGCTAGAAATAATAGAATAGGTTGTCGTATTGTCTAAATGGAATGTTGGCAAACATGTAAAAACAAATTGTGGATAAAGGTGAACAAGGGAGATTCCTCAGTTCAAATCCTACTTTCACATACATGCTGACATGACAATTTAGTCGACAATTCAATCCCATCTATATATGCAACTCATACCTACTAAAACTTAAGAAATGCTTTTTTTTTTTTTTTTTTTTTTTTAATATATGACAAATCAGTAAAAAAGGATTTTAGGATAAATTAGAAATTGACGTGTAAACTTATGAATTTATGTAGCATTATCCGTCGATTTAATTAGCAATGATGTTTATATTTTATGCAAACAAAAATGCTATAACTTAAATTATATATAGACTATTTTATTTTAAGTGTGATAGTTT